AGTTTTTTGGCTAGCTTGCAGTATGCTTATCCTTCTGATTTCTAACGACCGTGCTGTAGGTCGAGCCCCCTCTCATTGAGAGCTGGGTGTTGTGCTCCCTCAGCTAAGGTAACTTACTGCTAGCCGTTCCAGCATTGGAACATGCTGTAGGTCGAGCCCCCTCTCGATTGAGAATTGGGTGTGTTACTCCCTCAGCTAAGTAACTGCTAGCTGTTCCAGCATTGGAACATGCTGTAGGTCGAGCCCCCTCTCGATTGAGAGCTGGGTGTTTGCTTCCTCAGCTAGAGATTTACTGCTAGCCACTCCAGCATTATACCTTAGATCGAGTTGATGACTTCTTAAACAGTGTTTTGGGATGCACCATTTCCATCTATGGGCTGCTCTTTCAGAGTGCCACAAGGGCCCCTTAGAAAGGTATTTTTAAATCCATGTTATGGTAAGTGTGCACGTGAAGTCTTTGTACACTTTCTAAAACCTAAGTCCTAAAACCTAGTACCTAAAAACTATGCATGTAATAACCTAGAACACTGTCTTAAGACTTGATGGCTGCTCTGTCAATTCCTTGTCATCAGTTAGGAACCTAGGTGTGCTATATGATGGCAATCTTTCCTTAGAAAGCCACATTTCTAGTATTTGTAAAACTGCATTTTTCCCATCTCAAAAATATATCTAAATTACGACCTATGCTCTCAATGTCAAATGCAGAAATGTTAATCCATAAGCATTTATGACCTCAAAGTTAGATTATTGTAATGCTTTATTGGGTGGTTGTTCTGCACACTTAATAAACAAACTCCAGCTGGTCCAAAATGCAGCAGCTAGAGTTCTTACTAGAACCAGGAAGTATGACCATATTAGCCCGGTTATGTCAACATTGCACTGGCTACCTATTAAACATCGTATTGATTTTAAAATCTTAACACCCGATGTACTTGCTACATCGCTAGAAGAATGGCATCTACGCTAATATTAGTGTAATAAACAGAGTCTGTTTCTCTTTCTTTTTTTTTCTGAGGTCACCGTAGACACCAGATCCAGTTTGTATCCAGATCAGATGGTCACTGAAGTCACCCAGATCCAGGACGCATCCAGACCAGATGGTGGATCAGCACCTAGAGAGGACCCCTACAGCCCTGAAAGTCAGCAGAGACCAGGACAATTAGATGAGCCCCAGATACAGATCCCCAGTAAAGACCTTGTCTCAGATGGCCACCGGGACAAGACCACAGGAACCAGTTGTGTCCTCTGCACAATGTGACTTTGCTGCAGCCTGGAATTTAACTGCTGGTTTCGTCTGGCCAGAGGAGAACTGGCCCCCCCGACTGAGCCTGGTTTCTCCCAAGGTTTTTTCTCCATTCTATCACCAATGGAGTTTTGGTTCCTTGCCGCTGTCGCCTCTGGCTTGCTTAGTTGGGGACACTTCATTTCCAGCTATATCGTTGACTTGATTGCACAGATACTATTTAAACTGAACTGAGCTGGATGATGACATCATTGAATTCAATGATGAACTGCCTTTAACTGAAAAATTAGTGTTTACTATTGTCACTTTGCATAATTGACACACTATTTTCCTAATTAATGCTGTACAGTTGCTTTGACACAATCTGTATTGTTAAAAGCGCTATATAAATAACGGTGACTTGACTTTCTAAAATCCACACTGTGGTAAGTTCGCATGCTAGTACTTTGCATTCTTTCTAAAATCCTGTATGGTGAGGGGTTCGCGCTGCAGCTTCGTGTCCTTTCTTGAGCTGGTTAAGCCCCGGTTCCACCTTGGGCACCACTCCACCTTGTATCCTCCGGATACCCATTTTTAACAGGGTGTTGCTACTAGGGGTCTGTTGAGACAGTTCCTTCAGCATATGCAGAGCATGCGGTAGCCCCTGTGTGACAGGCCAAGACTTAGTATGATTCTAGGCTCTTGGTCGTATTCCCTTAAAGAATTGTATTCCTGTTTCCAAGCCTTGAGCTCTACCTTGGGCCCAGGAGTTCTGACAGCCGTCTTAATGTCCCAGGGGCAACTCCCTTGGCTATGGTAGAGTTGGTACTTAGTGCTCGCCATGGTTTTCTGG